ACCACATGGCGAGGCAGACCTCTCCTGACCCGCCTGCTGCTCCCCTCAGCAGTGTACTTCGTGGATCTGACTGTTCTGCTCCCCACTCTGTCCCTGGTGAATCCTCTCGCCCTCTGCATCTCTGGCCTGTATTCCAGTTCTGTATGAATAAATAAATCTTTTTTAAAAAAAGTGACACCTAACTCACATACCTTAAAATCCACCATTTTCAAGTATATGATTCAGTGGTTTTTAACATGTTCAGAGTTGTGCAACCATCACACTCATTCCAGAACGTTTTCGTCATTCCCTAAATATACTCCTTTTACATTCCTTATAGCAATGCATGAGGACTGCAATTTCCTCGCATCCTCACTTACTGTTGTCTATCACTTACTGTTGTGTGTCATTTTTCACTGCTGTTGAGTGTGCAGTGGTACTTTGCTGTGGGCATACCTTGTATTTCCTTAATGACTAGTGATGTTGGGCATCTTCTCAAATGCTAATTGGTCATCCCTATGTCTTCTTTGAGAAATGCCTATTCAAGACCTTCACCTATTTTTAAAAATGGGCAACTTGTGTTCCATGAGTTCTTTAAACATTCTGTATGCAAATCCTTTATCATGTATGACTTGCAAATATTTTCTCCCATTCCATGGGTTCTTACATTCTCAACAGAGTCCCTTAGTGCATAAGCTTTACATTTTTAAAAAGATTTATTCATTTATGCATTCAAGAGCTGGGGTATAGGCCAGAGATATGGGGAGGAGTGAGAGGATTCACCAGAGACAAGAGTGTGGAGCAAAACAGGTGGACTGACTGAAATACACTGCTGAGGGGAGCAGTGGGTGAGACAGGAGACATCTGCTGTGCCATGTGGGTCAGCTCCCTGGTTGAGGATCAAATTCCTGCTGCAGTGGCTGTGGATAGCTTCACAGTGTTGTGCTTTAGTTTACTGCACCACCAGGGAAGGCCACAAGGCTTTATATTTTGATGAAATGGACTTATTGTTTAAAAGTCAACCAAAACTTACCAAAGGGAAAAAAAAAACAACTTACCATTTTTCCCCCTACTAAACGGAATTTATAGTTTAAAACCGTCAGAAATCTTCAGGCCCAGATGGTGTCACTGGCAAATTTAAAAAAAGGAGAAACACCAATTCTGCACAACCTCTTCCAGAAAACAGAAGAGAACATTTTCTAATTCATTTTATGAGGTTAGATTTACTGAGATACCACAATCAGATACGAGAAAAATTATACTCCAGTAATATTCAAGAATATAAAAAGTAAGTATCCTCAGCAAAATATTAGTATCCATCAATATCTAAGAATAATATTCCATGATCAAGTAGGGCTTATTCCAGGAGTGTAATAGTGATTCAATTGTTAAAAAAAAAAAATCATTGGAAATCATGAGATGCCACCTCATAGTGTTGAGGAGAACATGGAGAATTGAAACTGCTAATAGGAACATAAAATGATGCAGCTATGGTACCTAACAGTGTGCAGCGCAGAATGTTAAAACACAGAAACACTGCATCTCTATGGCATCCAGCATTTCCATTCTGAGGTACATAAACAGGAAAAAAGTAAACATATGTATTCACACAAACCTCTACATGGGTGTTCATAGCTGCATCACTTGTAATAGCCTTAAACGGAAAACTTCAGTAAATCTGCCTGTTCTGCTCCCCATTCTGTCTCTGGTGAATCCTCTCCCCACCTTCAACCCCTGCACCTCTGACCTACATCCCAGTTCTTATACGCATAAATACATCTTTAAAAAGGTGTATGGAAACTGAATGAAAGGGGTATGGGGGTGAAGTGACCCAAAAGGGCGGGCTATGCTGGTTGTTTACTGCACCTCTGTCCCAAGCTCACTCCCTTTTCTGTTCTGTGATGTTGTCGCTGGACCACTGAAAACTTCATTTCCCAGATTTCCTGGTCAGTTGGCTGTTGGTTAGTCAGCCTGCTAAGGGGAGCCATTTGAGAGAGACTAGAAAGTGAAAGGGAAGGGACTTTCTTCTACTCTCCAGAGCCTTTCAGCATGTATGGACATTACTCCAGCACTGGCCATTTTTAACCTACCTTCTTAGAGCTTCCAGCACCAACTGCCTTGTATCCAACCCTCCCCCCCGAGCGCTGGCCCGATGGATTCCTTCCCCCAAGTTCTAACCCAGCTTCTGAGTCCCCTCCTGCCTGGTATTTGACCTTGCACTGTCCTCTCCCACACTGAATCAGGGCTGGCCAGTGTGACCAATGGAGTACCACGGAGGGACGCTGTGTGGCTTCTGAGACTATGTCATCAACCATGGTGCTTCTGTTTTGCCCTCGTGGTATATCCACCCTAGAGCTGTGTAAGGGCAGTCAAAGTGCTGGGAGCGGGACCAAGCCTCCCAACACCAGCACCCACTTGCCAGTCACTGAGTGAACCCCTACAGGGGTCCTTAGTCCTCTGGTCCTCACCATACCCTCAGACTGCAGCCAGGGAACAGCTGACCAAAACAGCAGAGACCCCAGACCAAAACCACCCACCCACCTCAGGAGATTCCACACCCAACCACCCACCGAGGTGCTCCCAACTTCTTGATAGAGAAAGTGTAACGAGGGATTGCTGTCGAGTTGAAAGGGTGACATGTTAAGCCAATCAGTAACTCAAGCAACCGCCTTTCCTAAATGTGTCCTGTCTGGGCTGTTGCTGCTTCCTGCAGTTCACTATCTCTGGGTCACCCCAGCACTCGCGTCTGGCCCACCTAATGTCCCCTGGCAGCAGCGTGCGTATGTCCCTGGATTAAATGCCCTATATCTGAACAGCTAGTGTGGTTTCTGTCTTTCAGATCGGAAGCTTTACGTTTCAGGAAGAAGAATACATTAAAAGAAAGCAAAACACTCCGTTAGGTCCTCCTCCTCCTCTCTCCACATCCCAGAACATTCGGTAAGATCTGGATTTTCCTAGCTGTGCTACCTGCACTACACAAAACTCGGCTGAGGTCAGACTCTCCTGTCCTGGGTGTCCCCTGCCCCTCCCCACAGGCTTCTGGTCCCAGGTTCCCTTCTTGCCCTATTTTTACGAGGCCCTGGGACACACATGCAACATGGGGTCTGGGTGGGGATTACAGAATTTATTTATTGTTCTGAGTCTGGGTTTTGTTCGTAGACATCACGATTCCTGGGTGGAGGGGACCGTCCCACCTCCCTGAGTGGTTGTCCCATGGCCTGTTTAAAATTGTTTTCCAGGTTCAAAGTGCACTGAGAAGGCTTCACAGTTTTAATACTTCCTAGATGCTCAACTGAGGCAAAGTGACAAAATGGCCCTCCCGCCCCCGCCCGCCAAAAAAATAAAACCCCAAGCCCCAGGCAGCTGCTGCTGCAGCCATATGAAAAAATAATACAAACTCTTCTTAAAAAATAGATTACACAGAAAGAACCCAGAGGACAGAGGGACACTGGGGAGGGGGCGCGGGGCAGCTCCAGCCACCGGCAGGAAGCCTCAGGAGAGGCCTGGGAGGGGCACTGAGATGAACTTCAGGGGCTGGATGCTGGTGGACGTGCCTGTCTGCTCTGCCCGACCTCGCTGCTCCCCTGCAGCAGGCCACAGCTCCCCGCTCCTCACTCTGGGCCCTGCTTCTGACTAAAGTGGCTTCACTAAAGAAACAAATGACCCAGAGCAAGAGAGGGCTGCTCCCTGGCCTCAGGGGCTCTCTCCCCACAGGAGCAGACCTCTCTCTGTACTGGGGGTACCAATACCTGCAGTTACCTGGGCACTACCTGGGACATAACAGGACCAGACTCCCCATCTGGCTCCTGGGAATATGGCCTCTGCTGTGTGACACCCCGCCCCCTTCGGGAGGGACCTGGTCTGAGGAGTCCTCCAGCTGCCCCCGCAGGCCCTGCAGATGGTGGAGCGTGCACAGGACGGTGGGGCGTGGCATGGGACACAACTCACAGGGGCCCTCCAGCTCATGCAAGGAGTAGCGAGAGGCGGGCGGCCCCGCCAGGACAGAGGTAAGGCAGGGCGAGGTGATGGTGTGTGTGCAGCTGGACCAGCTCAGGACCAGGGACAGAGACAAAGCAGGAGCTGCGGCTCCCAGGGCAAGAGAAGGCGAGGCTGGGCCTGGTGCTCAGGAGGGGTCAGGTGCCTGCTCCGGGCTGAGAGCGCTGCACCCAGCCACCTTCTGCAGAGGAATCTGTTGTAGGGTGGATTCTCTGGAGGTGGGGCCGCAGACAGCTGGGCAGGTCGGGCTCAGTCAGGGACCTCAGGGTGGGCAGGCAGTCCGCTCTCACCACGCCGGTAAGTCTCCCAGAAGCCCCTGTCCAGCTGCTCCAGCTGTGTGCCCAGGGGCAGGTGGCCGGCCAAGTGCATGCGGAGGGTCTCCAGCCACTGCTCCAGCTTTATGAAGGAGGGTCTGGGTGACAGGGGTGGTGGGGAAGAGATGGTGGTTTCTGGTTCTGCCAGGGGCTGGCCCCACCGTTGCCACCAAGTTCCCAACTCACTCACCTCTTCTCAGGGTCCAGGTCACAGCAGCGCACGGTGATGGGAAAGAAGCTCGGAGGGCAGTTTGGGGGACAGTAGCGGTCCAGGAAGCCTCGGACATTGAGACCAAAGTCCATGGTGCGGGGCAGGTAGTCAGGGTCGGCATTCACACGCCCAATGATCTGTTTAGAGAAGCCCAGTTTCACCCTGGGGATGCTGGTGCAGGGAGCTGCCCACGTGGATGTGAGGGTAGGTGACAGGGTATGGTGCCTGCCCACCTGTGCACTCCCGGGGGCTATAGGTTGCTGGGGATGCCAGCACTGCTCCCCGAGCCCCTGCAGACTTTCAGCCTGCAGTCTGGGGGCTGGGGAGTGCAGAGGGACGCTGGACCCAATGCCAACCACCACAACCTTGGACCTACCTCGCACAGGACGATTCCAAAGGAAAACACATCCACCTTCTCATCATAGCTTCGGCCTGCACAGCGAGAATGACCGTCAGTAGGTGAGCTAGGCTAGGGATGGCAAGCTGGGTGAGCCCAGCAAGTGGGTGGGGAGCAAGAGGCAGGTGCTAGCAGCCTCCATGAGATTGGGGGTGGGCTCTGCTGCCTGACCCCATCTGGTCTGAGCACTCCTGGGCGTGAAGATGGGACTATTGGGCAAAGGGTTCTGAGCCCAGCACAGCCACTGGCCAGCTGAGTGACTGGCCAAGTCATGAATTCTGTGGTTGCCTTAAAAGATAATGGCATCAGCCAACAAGCATATGAAAAAATGTTCAACATCACTCGTAATAAGGGAGATGCAAATTAAAGCCACAATGAGATACCACCTCACACCGTTGAGAATGGCACATCCTAAAACAACTAGCAACAAGTGTTGGCGAGGATGTGGAGAAAAAGGAACTCCCCTGCACTGCTGGTGGGAATGCAAACTAGCACAACCACTGTGGAAAACTGTTTGGAGGTTCCTCAAACTGCTAAACATGGAGCTTCCATAGAATCCAGCAATCCCACTCCTAGATAAGACACAAAAACACTGATTCAAAGACACCTGTTTAATGCTGCTTTATTTACAATCAGAAAGACATGGACCCAACCCAAATCAAAAGTGGATAACTGGATTAAAAAGATGTGGTACATATACACAATGGAATATTACTCAGCAACCAAAAAAGGTAAACACATGTCTTTTGCAGCAACATGGATGGAGCTAGAAGGGATCATGCTTAGTGAAATAAGCCAGAAAAAAGAAAAATACTGGATGGTTTCACTCATAGCAGAAGCATGAAAGACTGGGGGTGGGGGAATAATAATGAACAATTGGATACCAGAGACATTTTACGGGGGTGGAGTGGGAAATGGTATCAAAAATGGGGGCGGGGGTGTGTGTGTGTCCACTGGACTATGATGATGGTACATGGGGTGATTTGGTGATGGGAAACCCAGGGGGTTTACAACTGAGATGGAAAAAGGCACAAAAATAAACTATTATATTAAAATTAAACAAACAAACAAAAGATAATGATTTCAACCCCCTGGAACTTGAATGTTACTTTACTGAAAATTGGAAAAGGATTTTGGGGCCTCCCTGGTGGTACAAGTCTCAGCACTATGAAGCTATTACCAACCTCTGGGGCAGAAATTCAATCCCTGGCCAGGGAGCTGACCCACATGGTGTGGCAGACCTCTCCTGTCCTGCCCACTGCTCCCCTCAGCAGTGTATTTCAATACCTCTGCCTGTTCTGCTCCCCGCTCTGTCTGGTGAATCCTCTCACCCACCCCCGCTGCACGCCACACCTTTGGGCTATACCCCATCTCTTGTATGCATAAATAAATCTTAAAAAAGAGAAAAAGAGGCATGATTAAGCATTTTGAGCTAATTCTGGATTACACAGGAGGGCCCTAAATGCTGTCTCATGTCTCACTAAGAGACACAGAGGAGCAGACCCAGGAGGTGAGGAGGTGGCCATGTGAAGATGGGGGCAGAGTCTGGGAATGTCCATCCACTCCTCGAAGAAGCAAGGAATAGTTCTCCCCTAAATATCCTGGAGGGAACACAGCTTTACTGGATTTCAGACTTCTAGAACATGGACATCTTCAGGTCCCTGACTGAGCCCGGCCCACCCAGCTGTCTGTGGTCCCCACAGACAGACTTCTACAACTATGAGCATCAATTTCTGTTATTTTAAGTCACCTTAAATAAGTGGGATTTGTTCGCAGCCCCAAGAGTGAATATAGACTCTTGGCCTCAGTTTCCCTATCTGTGCAAGGAGAATACTACCAAAGAATGTCTGTCCACGTCATCAGAATGGATAAACGTGCTATGTTAGTATGTGACAGAATGCTAATCCATGGCAGCATGAAAAGACTTCCATAGAAAAGAAGCTGGTGGACAGCCTTGACGGTGTGTTGCTAAGTGATTCAAGGACAGTACTCTACCAGCTTACTGTATCAAGCTCACAGATACAGAGAACAGACTAACAGGTGCCAGAGAACAGACTGAGGGTGTGGTGGATGAAGTGGATGGAGGTCAAGGGTACAAACTTCCAGTTAGAAGATATGTAATTCTGGGGGTGTAATGTCCAGCAGGTGACAGCAAGTGGGGACATTGAATTGCATGGCTGGAAAATGCTGAGTAGAGTTTAAAAGTTCTCAAAGCAAGAAAAAAACATTTGCAATTATATGTGGTGATGGATATTAATTCACTAGAATTAATGTAGTGAGTACTTTGTAAGACATACAAATATTGAGTTACGCTGTATTCTAAAGCTGAGGTGTAGAACAAATATATCTTTAAAAAAAAGTCATTTACTGAATGCTGGCTACTTTACAAATCTGAGTGGATGCTGGAGTCACTCCCCAAAGGTACCTTATCCGGGAGCTGTGCTACCTGCAGAGCTGGCACTGAGGACCCAGGTAGGCCTGCCCTCACCCTGTGTTGGCACATTGCCAGCCGTGGAGGGGCTGGATAACTCTCATGGGGGCCCACAGAAGAACATCGTGCTAGGCCTGGTCAAGAAGAACCAGAGGAGCTGTGTGAGGCTGACTGGTGCCCTCCGGTATCCATGTCCTCGTCCCTGGACCTGTGAACACGCTCCCCTTCCTGGGACTCGGCAGGTATGAGGAAGCTGCCTGAGACCGGGAACGTGTCCTGGACTATCCAGGTGAGCCCTGTGTCATCACAAAGGTCCGTATGGAAGAGGGATATGGTGAGGGCTGAGAAGGAGCTGTGACAGCGGCTACAGACAGTAGTGACAGGAGGCCACACTGGCTGGCCTGGTGGAGGCAGGGGTGAGGGAGCCTTAAGAAGCTGGAAAAGCAAGCAGGTTCTCCCTGGAAGCCTCCAGACGGAGAAGCCCTGCTGACTCCTGACGTCTGCTCAGTGACAACGACGCAGGACATCTGGGCAGAACGACAAGGTCATGGTGCTTTTCAAGCCAAGTGTACAGTGGCTTGTCAGGGCAGTGAAAGGAAGCCAACACTGGGACCCAAGAGGAGGCTGAGGGGCTGAGACCAGGCAGGCGGAGTGGGCGGCCCACTGGGCCTGGGCTCGGGGCCCTCCCCACTCACCGTTGATCATCTCAGGCGCCATCCAGTAGGGGTTGCCCACCACCGTGTACCGCTTCTTGCGGTCTGGCTTCTTGAGGCTTCGCAGGTCATCGGGCTTTGTCTTTTCTTCCACCATGAGCCGAGCCAGCCCAAAGTCGGCCACCACCACGTTCTTGTTCTGAGTGACAATGAAGCAGAGGCACACTGAGTGCCACCATCGCCACCTGTCTCTGGACGCTAGCCTGGCCCCCCGCCATTAGTCCACCGACAGGAAACGCCCGACACTGGGGGCCTCAGCCCTGTCTGCCAAGCCAAAGGCAAAGCTTTTCTGTACACAGATGGGATTCTGGAGACAGGGGCTCACAATTCTCACCAGACTCTACGGGGATGGGCCGTGCAGAGACCCTTTCCTCACCCCGCCCTGGCTGGGTCTTGCAGTGATGGCCGTGACTAGCAGGGAGCTAGCTCCCTGGGAGGTGGGGATCAAGGCCCCCACCTCGCTCTGCGGTCTGCTTCCTGCAGCTGGCTGGGTAGGCCCAGAGGCAGAGACTCACGCCTGGGGCCTGTGTATGTGCTGCTCCCTCTACCTAGAACACCTGGCCACCTGTCTAGAGAACTTTCCCTCTGAAGAGCCACCTGTCTGTAGCATGACAGTGACCTCCAGATTCATGTCTATTTGGAACCTCAACAGGACTTTATTTGGAAACAGGGTCTCTGTTGATGTAACTGCCTAAGAGGAGGGCACACTGGATTAGGGTGGGCTCTAACTGGATGACTGGCATCCTTATCAAAGAAGTAAGTAGGCAGAGAGAGGGCGGCCATGTCAAGGCAGTGGCAGACGCCTGGCTTGGCTGCATGTCAGGAATGCCACGGAAGCCAAGCAGCCACAAGCTTGGAGGGAGGCTTGGGACAGAGCCTCCCTCAGAGACTCCAGAAGGACGAAACCCAAGGAGCCAACACCTGGATTTTCTACTTTTGGCTCCCGAACTCTGAGAAAACAGCTCTGTTGCTTTCAATCATTTACTTGATGGTGCGCTGTGACCACCTCTGGAAGTGTACAGCGCGCAGAGGACACCGCCAGTTACCTGTCCTCTGCCCTCTGTGAACAGCCTGTGTCGGCCTGCCCCATGACCCCCCTTCCCCAGCCCCCTGCCCTGCCAGGCTCACCTCTCGGACCAGGCAGTTGTGGGAGTTGAGGTCCCGATGGATGATGTTCATGGAGTGGAGGTAGGCCTGGGGGTGGGGTGGGGATGGGGACACTGAGGTCAGCAGGTAGCTGCAGGGAAGGCCCCTGCCCACCCCGGCACCCTGAGGCTCCCACCACCCCCCTGCCCCAGTCAGGACCTGCAGGGGTGCTCTTCCCACCCTTCGTGCTCCTGCCCTGCCCTTGTTGTTTCCATTTCTAAACTCTATGTGGACTTTCAGGTCAGTGACCAAGGCTGGGTGTCTAAGAGGGGTCCCCTCACCGGCCACATGGCATGTGGGAACCGGGACTGACTCACCATCCCTGAAGCGATGTCCTTGGCGAAGCTCACCCTCTGACTCCAGGGGTACTGGCTGTCCTGGGGGGAGAGGCAAAAGGAAGACGGGGTGGGGTGGGGCCAAGGGAGTGAGAGAAAGAGGCGGGAACAAGTGTGCTAGAGGGTCCAGGACGCCCACCACCCTTCTGTACCCACAACTGCCTAAGACTCCGTGAGGCGTGGCTGAGTGACACTAAGCTATTTTCTATCAGAGCTGATTTCAAGCGCTCAGGAGGGATATTCCTTTATGGTTTCTCCTCCGAAGGAAAAGAGCCAGATGTCACCTAATATTTTCTGAGGGTAACTGAAATTGCTAAAAATGAGACTGAGGATAAAGGGGAATTATTGTAGGAAGAACGGTTTGCTTTTGCAAGAAGCAAAGTCCAGTCCCACCGCCTGCAAGGTACAGAACCGGAACAGCTGCCCCCAGTAGCCTGCGTGTCCTCTTGGCGACGCCACGTCCTTCTCTGGGCCCCTGGCTTAAACGGAGTGTTTTCTGCTCTCCGTTCAGAATCAGGGTCTGAAGAGCTCGGAGACCAGAGCCACTGTCCCTGGGGCTGCTGAGGGCTGGGGCCCCAGAGGTGCTGGCCTCCAGCTGCCTACAGTGGACTGTGGGCACTCACCATGCTCTTGATGATGCCACGGAGCGTGCCACCCTTGATGTACTCAGTGATGAAGTTGAGCCTCTTGTCCTTGTACAGCACCCCGATGAACTTGAGCACATTGGGGTGCTCCAGGCACCGCATGACCTTCACCTGGTGGGGTGCAAACAGGCTGGGTATGCCCCATCTCCTCTCTCTGCCCTCCAAGCAGAGGCCACAGACAACCCCAGGACTGCCCGGGGCCCTGTCATGCCTGGACCAGGTCTCTTTCTTGGGCAGCCTCTCCCCCACCCCCAGAGGTCTTTGCCCTTCCCTCAGCTTGTGGCCTGAGTGTCACACCCTCCCAGACCCCTGGTCCTTCTTCAGTGGGGAAGGGCAGCGGACTGCGGGCCCGCCAGGGGCTTGGTCAAGAGGGTGTGAAGCCGGTCCACTAACCTCCTTGAGGAATGTCCTCTGTGTCTCCTCGTCAAACCGGATCAGCTCCTTCATCACCATCACCTCGCCCGTCTCCCTGTGCGTCACCTGAGTGGGGACACCAGAGCAGAGAGACTCAGGGCCCACAGAGGCCCTGCCCTAAGCCTGCCTGGCAGGAGACCCTGCCCAGGACCATCAGGAAGATGGCAGAGACTGGACTGCAGTTCACGTCACATTCCCAGGCCCCAGACCATGGGATTAGGCTCCCTGTAGATGGGGTCAGGGAGGGTCCCAACAAGCCAAGGTCACCCAGTTGGCAGGGAAGGGCGGCTGCTGGGGCCTGGGTCCTGGATAGGGGAAGAGAGTGAGGTCACCAGGGCTGGCAAGAGGCAGGGAGTAGGCTGCCCCACCCATGGAACACCTCCCAACAACCTCCTCCATGCAAAGAAGGGTCTCTCCACAGTAAGACCCTCAACCAGCTCCAGGAGAGCACTGTTCGGGGAGTCTGCAAACCAGGACCCCTTCCACTGGATTCCTGGAGGAGGAAGGCCTGCGGGGTCACACACAGGTGAGGCCCACTCACTGCCCGCATATGCCCCGTACCTTGATGGCCTGGCCGAAGCATCCCTTGCCCAGCACTTCCCCATGGATGAGGTCTGAAGGCCGGAAGATGCGGTGCGGTCGGCAGACCACACGGAGGGATTCGGAGCGACCCAGGTCCTTGCGCTGGGAGGCCGGGGAGTTCAGCGAGCCGGCACCTGGAGACCTGTCGATGCTGCAGCTCCTCCTGGGGGCAGCACACTGGCTGAGCCCTCATTCCTGTGCGCCATGCTCCCACTGTCAGTCTTGTCACCGCCCCTGTTCTTCACCCTCCCCCTAAGTCAAGAGGGTGGCAAGGGATCCATCCTGATGCCAGTGCTCAATGCCTGTCCTGTTCAATCTTCCTGAATATTTGCCCTTGTCCTCTTCTGCTGAGTACTCTGGGTCAAACACTATGTCTCCCAGCTTGTGGGTTCCAGGCCACGGGGTGCAGAAGTAGACAACTACCCAGGAGGCCTTAACCCTGCCACATGTATGCTTCCCTGGAGCGGCCCGATCTCCTGACAAACGCAGGTAAGGAAGAAAGGCATTAAGGTCGAGGGTTGTGCTCCCAGAGTGGCCTCCCGAAGCCTTTACCAGGAGTCCCAAGCAGATACCACAGTAAATGGAATGAGGACCAGGCTACCCCTGGGTGTCTTCTATGAGCCCCCAACAACCTTTAAGAGAGTATGGCACCCAAGGCACCTTCCGCCTGTGCCATCCCGACAGCCCTCTAGCCACCCGGCTGCAGGCACCCTCCTGCACAGGGGACCCCAAAGGTCTCCACAAAGCGTTATCACTTTGCTGCAGCACCCCTTCAGATGGGGGCTGTGATGGGTGATGGGTGGGCAATACCCAAAGACCCTGCCACATTCCAGGACCTACCACCAGCATCTGCCTGGGGGCTCATCCATTCCCCCATACCCTTGTCCCCACTTCCACCTGAGCTCCCACCATCCAGAGCTACTTGCCTACAACTCCTGAGGTGCTGGTTCTTCCTCCCCCCACCACCCTCAGGAGCTCTTCATAATCCCGAGCCATTTCCCTTGATTTCCTGTTTCTATGCTCACAGCCCCAGGACACCTGGCCAGGCTGCTTTTTTGCAGGGCTGATTCCCCATCACATTGAGCTGTGAGGTGCTGAGGACAAGGTCCCTTGTCCCAAGGCCTGGCAAGAGTCAAGCACCTAGAGACCCCAAGGCACAGGCTGACTTACAGGATGGGCTTCTGGCGGCCAGAGCTGCCAGCCTCCCCACTGGGAGTGTGAGCTGGGGAGGCCAGAGGGCTGGGCCCAGGTTCTGGCCCATGGCCCAATGTGTCGTGCGGGTCATGCTCAAGAGTCAGCTGGAGCAGACGGCTGGTTTCCTGGATCAGCAGATCAATCTGGGGAGGTGAGTGGACAGGTGAGTGCAGGTGGCAGGCTTGGGGGCACTGGAGGAGCAGGCGAGAAGGCACCCCTCCCGTTCCTTGACAGCCCTGGCCCCGTACCTCGTCCAGGGGCACATTCCGGATGGGAGTGCCATTGATCTCCAGGATCCGGTCTCCGACATGGATGGAATTCTTCACATCTGGACTCATGCAGCCTGGGTCCACTCTGTGGGCACAGGGCAGTGGTCAGACCCCTGCCCACCTTTCCCCCGGAAACCAATGCCCAGGGAGTCAGGGAACCAATGCCCAGGGTTTCAGGTCAGAGGTGAGAGGGCAAATAGATCTATCTTGCTTAACTCTGCTTTGGTGGGAAGAATTCTCTATCTAGTTGCTGATGTCTGCTTTGGATGTGCCACTGGAGAGAAGTGGCTGCCTGTCTCTGCCGTGAGGACAGAGCTACCCTTTCAACTGCCTGGTGAGTCCTAAGAGGGTCTGAATCCTCTGGCTTCCTACTTGATTCCACACCCATCCTGCAAGATGAAGCTGAGGTTCCACTGCCCTGGATTCGTGAGGGTCTAGTCATCTACCCCAAGCCACACTGTAGGCCAGAGACAACATCCTTCAGACCAGCTAACTCAGCACGGCCAATTTGCCCAACTTTCTTTTTGTTGCTAATATGGGAAGTGTCATGAATTTGTGTCATCCTTCTTTGGCGCTGTGCTAATCTCTGGATCCCTCCAAATTTGGTATACGTGCAGCTGAAGCTAGTGCTCTTAACTCTTTGGTGTTACATGGATATCATGTCTTCTTAAAAGCTTTTAAAAAACTATTCACCTTGTCTATGTGATGGGGAAGCACTAGGATGAGGGCTAGGGAGACTAAGTGCTTTAAGAAAAACAATTCCTAGAAAATTTTTCTTACCAAGACTATGTGCTCAGGTGGGGGAGAGGCTCTTCCTTATACCGGAAAGCCAGGAAACAAACTCAGGAGAGCAGAGTGAGAAAATCACCATTCTGGGTCATCAGAGTGATACCTGATAATGGGGAGGCTTACCTATAAATGCTAGGAGCCACGTGGGGAAAGGTTCTTGGGGACAGGCTATTCAGAGACTCGACTTGAGTCTTACAGGTGACTTACTGACCCCGTTACAAAGGGCAGAATCTTTTTCGGCAGAGAATGGACTGTACTTTAGCCAAGTAGTCAGAGCTGATGTCCCCAAAGGACACACGTTGTTGCTGTCGTGTGTCCACCAGTAAGAAGCAGGGGTAAGGACAGACCACTGTGCATGAGCAGGCCAAACACATGGCCTAAATTTACTGTGAAAAAGATATTAGGCAAGCGGAGGGGTGTTCTATGTAATAGCTGACCTGTATTCCTCACAGACGTCAAGGTCAAGGCGGACAATGAAAAGTTGAGGAACTATCACAGATTAAAAGAGATGCTAGTGACATGCTGATCAGTGCAGAAGATGATCACAGACCTGCACCAGGGAAATGCCAATGAAGGGTGGGTGGCATTGAGAACTTGCAGAACCGAAAGGCAATCTTTGAATATGAGCTGTATATTGTATATGGTGATTGTATCAATGGTAAATTTCTTAAGTGTCCTAACTGTATTCTAAGACACAATTGATAACTGTGTAAGAGAACATTTTCGTTTTTAGGAAACTGTCTGATGTATTTGGGGGAGGGAGGCAGGGAAGGAGGATGGGTCTATGATGCTTGCAATTTGCAAATGATTTAGCAGATATGTGTTATACAGAAGCATAAATAAGCCAGAGTGTGTACATGAATAGACAAATACACACATGTGCATAGACATATACAGAGTGGGTGACACCCTCATTCCCTCCCCACCAAATGTGGCAAAACGTTAAAACTGGTGAATATAGGTGAAGGGTATAGAGTTATCAAGGTACATATTATTTTAGTCAACTTTCTGGAAATTTGGCAATTTCAAGATAAAAAGATCACAAAACAATGAATTTATTTTAACTGACAGAGACTTCTTGTGGACATTGCCTTAAAAACACTCGTCTCTGAGATGGGAAAAAAAAATGTACAAAATGATGTAAAAATAAACTGTTATAAAATTAAAAAAACAACAACAACAAAAAAACACACTCCTCAGACTTAGTCTCCTGCCAGGTAGCTGGGGCACAGACACATTAAACTCTAAGATGCTGCTATGAACAAAAGGAACAGCGGCCACGAAGACTAGCAAACAGCCAACGCGGCTGCTTTCAGAGGGTGTGGCTCTTTGCCAACGTCATTAGGAAGGCAGATGTTGGCTGGAAAGACCGCTCATCGGGCGAAAGAGACAGGGAGGGGTGTCGGGCTCTCCATTTCTAAGATCCTGCCTGGCTGTCAGAGACCAGCTGGGCCCCTGCCTCCGGGGCCAATTTCCCTCGGCCTTCTGGCCAGACGCCTTGGTTTGGGAGTTTCTCCATCTCTCTCACCAGTCTGACCCGCTCATTTGTATACATAAGGCAGCTGCTAACCTGGCTGAAGCTCAAGCAGGGTGAGATGCAGACTTTAGCTCAGTACCCTTCCATTTTCCAGTTCCACCTAGGCATGGGGCCTGAGGTCTAGCCGGCGGATGAGAAATGTTCCCTATGTCACTGAGGCCCAGAGATGGGGGCATTTAAAGCTACATCTCAAGGAGTCAGTGAAGGCCTCGGAGAAATCTTAAAATGTTCCAAAGCATCCAACTGCTTGATCGAGGAGCACAAAGCCCAGAGAGAAGTAAGCGGCTCAAGGTCACAGCATGCTGGCAGCTGGGTTGGCTCCCCCCTGACCCCTTTGCGCATCTCAGGCCTTTTCTGCCTGCCATAGAATTTCCTTTAAGGATGGACCTGCAAGTATCAAATCTGGATTCTGTCTGACTTGCTAAGCATTTACTTTACCATTACTCCTGAAAGAGATTTTCATCAAGTACAGAATCCATGGCTGAGGGTTATTCTTGCTCTGATTAACATGGGGACACATTCTGAGAAATATGCTGTTGGTGATTCTGTTGAGTGTCACAGACAGCACTTACACCTGGATGGCACAGCGTACTCCACGGGGAGCTATGGGTGCAGCCTCTGGGGCCACCACCGTGCACAAAGCATAGCTGGCGCAGGGCAGGCCTACACCCATGTTCCACTGATTCTGGCTTCACGGTTTCTATTGTGAAATCAGCGATCAGTGCCACCGTCCTTTTATTAAGATAAATTTTCTTCCCCAATGGTTACTTTTACAGACCTTTCTTTAAAGACTTCGCTAGATGGGATGGCTTTCTTGGTGTTTGGGATTAATGGGGCTTGAGTCTGCTGGCATCAGTTCTGAGAGTTCTCAAATCACTGTATCTTCAATTATTGCCTCTCTCCCATTAGCTCTCTTCTTCCGGGTTGTCAGAGCTGGGTTCTATCTGTCCAAATGCTCACCTATCTTAGGGCCTCCAGCCCCAGAGTTTGCCACCCACAACCACACTCACACCAGCTGCAACCTCGCAGGCCAGTCACTCACCCCTGGACGCGAACAGTATGGGAGTGCTCTGTGCCGCAGCCTGGTGGGCCATGAGGTGGGTCGATGGAGACCGAGAGACCACGTTTGCCGTGCGTGGAGGCTGGGATGGATACTAGAGTTACTGTGTGGGGCAGGTGGGAGCCGGGGGAGTCGGGCAGGATCTGCTCGATGACGGGGGTCACCACGGTCTGGTAGTAGCAGTGCCCACTGCAAGAGCCACAAAGAACGGGGGGAAGAGTGTTAGGACAGCCACAAGCATCACCTCCCACCTCCACCCTGCCCCCCGCGCCAGGCTCCTCTCTGCTGCGCCCCATGCCCTCACTGCTCCCATGGGGTAGATGTTTTAACTGCCTGATGGCCTGGGAGGGACAAGCATGCCCTCCTCAGTCCAGACCAGTCCGGCCCTTGCTCCTCTCTGGGACTCAGTCACGCTGGGTCTGTCGACCCCCTGCCATGGACAAGTCCAGGCAGAGTCCAGGACAAGTCCTGGCATAAATCCAGCTTAAGTGGACATCACTCAAAGTCCAATTGGGATCAAACTGCCCTCAAGCCCAGCTTTATCAGTGGTGTATATAGAATCTGTATGGTTTCTGTTCCTGGTTTGAGAAAGACGCACTAAATGTCTGGAATAGGAGCGTCTTTCTTTTCTTTTTTAAAAAAATTATTTATTCACACAGAACTGGGGTACAGGCCAGTGGTGCAGGGGCAGTGAGAGGATTCACCAGACAGAGTGGGGAGCAGAACAGGCAGACTGATGAAGTACACTGCTGCGGGGAGCAGCGGGCGGGTCAGGAGAGGTCTGCCACGCCATGTGGGTCACCTCCAGGACCGGGGCTCAAATTTGCACTGAAGCAGCTGTGGTCAGCTTGCAGTGCTGTGCCCTAACCCACTGTGCCACCAGGTAGGGCCCTGGGAGCATCTTTCTTTTCGCAGCTGAGGCGATCTTACAGCTGAGATACACAGCCTGGGGGCTGGGCCATGGGGGATGAACTGGTGATTGGGTGGGGGAAGAGAAGAGGGAATAAGTGGGTTCAATCACCTGGCCAGTGAGTCGATCAATCTTGCCTACATAATAAACCCCAGTGGTGCAAGATGCATGTGCTTGTGTGTGCACGTGTCACACATCCTGATCCCCTGTGGAGAGTGTACAGAGCTCCGCATTGGGACCCTCCCAGATGTCACCCTTTGTCCCTCACCTGCAGATCTGTTGGAGAAAGTTATAACCCTAGATACAGCACTTTTCAGAGCCTGCAGGTCAGTTAATGAATGGTTGAATCTGATGGGGCTGTGGGAAGCCCTCACCCTGCAGCCAGTTGGGGACTGCTGAACTCACTGCTGGGGAGGTGAGGGTGGTCCTGTCAGGTCCTGGCCCTACACTTGTAAGGTCAGTGCTAACTCGGGTCTGTGCCAGAGCTGCAAAGCAGTGATACGCCTGGGAGAAAGCCGAGGCCTAGGCCCTCGAAGCCTGACTCCTATGCAGTACCCCCAGTCACGCCTGCACTGTCACTGGCAGGCCTGACAGCCTCCCTCAACCTCACCTCATGGAGAGGGCGAGTGAGGGAGACCCGTGACGCAGGTGGGCGCAGGGCCCAGGGCGCTCACCAGTACAGCTTGGAGTGCTCCACCAGCGTGTAGGTGTCCCCGTCACCGATGAAAGTCCCGCATGTGAGGCAGATGAAGCACTCGGGGTGGTACTTCAGCTCCCCCGCCACCTGGTGGGGGTGGGGAGGACAACCCAGCTCAGCAGCCACTTCCACCCCACAGGCCTCTCCTGGCTCCACATCAGAAGGGCTCCCCAAACTCAGGAGCCCAGCTGTCAGCTCCACAGATGGGGGTAGATGGAAAGAGATGGACGAACAGGCTCCGAAGGCACAGAGGAGTCAGAGAGGGTAAGAAGAACGAGGAGACCCGTGAGGACAGACACGCCCCCCCCCCCCCCCCGTGCTCCAGGTGAGCTGTCACGGGAGAGGGGCACTCACCATGACCAGCCCCTTGGTGATGTGTTCAGAGCACCCATGGCAAGACTCGCCGTAGCGGGCCCAGTAGTCCTTCTTGCAGAACAGCTGCCCATCCTTCTCGTAGTACTGGTGTGAGAGGGAGGCGCTGCACTCACAACACCTGGAAGGGGGCGGGGCTTAGTACCACCAACCCCCCCCCCCAGGGGTGCCTTGCCATTTCTCACTGCTGCCTCTGGAGGAACTAGGGAAGGGCAGCAGCAGCCAGTGCAGGGGCAGAGGCTTGGCCAGTGGAGGCCAGGATGGATTTTGTCCCCCTGCCCCACAGCCCGCAGAGCAAGCCATCCACAGCAGTTTTGTGCCCAGAGTGTCTGATCCGCCTGCTAGTTTGGGGGTGAAAGTTGCTCCGCATCTGAGCCTGTTCCTTGTCAGGTAAGGAAGAGGGCCCAAGACTTGCTCTTGGTCACATCAAGTGGAGGGGGTGGAAGATGGGAGCCCAGGGCACCGGTGGGAGGGCTGGAATAAACCATGGCACCATTCTTCTGGGGTGGTAGTCCGCACCTCATCCCCCTCCCCCACCAGCAATGTGGGGGCAGTTTGGGCCAGCCTGTGTGGATGGCGTGACTTGGGGCAGTTGCCAAGACCCACTAAGTGCTAGCACCTTGCTCTGCTCTTGGTTAATCCTCACAGGTTGCCACGAGTCACAGAGCTTCAGATAGGCTACCGTGCCCCACATGGGTGACACAGTCCCACAAAGCTAACTCTTGCCACACGAAGACAAGGGCAGGAATTCAACTTAGAGGAGCCAGCTGGATCACAGTAAGACAGGATCTGCTGGTTTCCATGACCTCAGCCAGCCCTATAGGCACTGCGGTCTTAAGAAGGGGGTTCAGGAGGCTCAGCACAGCCCTGCCCAGTGTCATGGACCCTACTTCCCTCAGAAAAGCAGTCACACTGCATGAGCAATGACCAGAGGAGCAGAATCAAGACCAGGACTTCCCTATCCATCACCAGAAGCACCCCACAGGCCAGCAGTCCCGCTGAGCCAGGAGGAGCAAATGCAGAAATGTGGGATCCAGGTGAGCCCAGGTCCCACCAGTTCTGCAGAGCCTGAAGGGGATCCTGGTATGCATGGGCCAGAAGACACACTGCAGAGAACAGGCTGGCAATCCTTCCTCTGAGCGCTGCGCAGTGCTCTGAGGCTGTGCCAAGGTCACACAGACAGGAGGACCCTGCCCAGAGCTCAGGGCTCAGCAGGGAGACAATCCCGGGGACAGGAGGAACAATGAAGACTGAAAGCTCCCCCAGGCAGCCAGAGGAGCCTGCGTGACCTTGGCCAGCACACACAACACTCTGCAACTACTACTTGGGAACTGGGGGCGCAGGAACGGGGGTGCAGAGGAGGGAGAGGACAGCAGGGAGCGTGCTGGTGGGACACTGTTTCTTTAAGAGGATCCAGCCAGTTCCCCATTGTCTGGGAGCCTGAGGGGAGGGGCAAGGGACCAGGGGGGTAGGGGGGGAGGGCTGGAGTGTTGCTGCTGCTGCTGCTGCTGCTGCTGCTGCTGTGTGTGTGTGTGTGTGTGTGTGTGTGTGTATGTGTGTGCGTGCGTGCGTGCGTGCTCGCAAGCTCTGAAAATGTCAGGGCTAGGCAGCACAGGGGCTGTATCCAGGAAGGAGGGGGTCTGTGGGCTGCCCCCATGAAAAGCAGGGGAGGGGGAGGACCTCAGGAGATGGCCCTGGGATAGGGAGGAGGGTGCCTGCCTCCCGGAAGTGGAGGCTGCGGAGCCATGATGTCATCCACTGCCCACGGTGGCTGCCCTTCCTGCCCCCACACCACTGCACTCCTGCTCCCGTCCCGGGTGCCTGTAGGGGACCAGCACCTCCTAAGGGGGCAAAGAAGGGCCTGACCAGGAGGCCCAGGGATGGGGGAGAGCCCCACGGGCTCTAACTTGGAGAAGTTTAGTGGCAGGAGCTGCTCTGCAGTCAGACAGCCCAACCATGGGGAGCCCCCCTGCCTGGTGCAGAATGGTGACTCATTCAAGGCCTTCTGGAGACTAGACAGTCATGTCATAAGAGTCAGCACAGGGTGGGCGGGTGTGCAGCGCAGAGAATGCCCCCACCCCTACTCCTCACTGGGAGTCTACTGCTCATCTCAGTGCCCTGGCAGACCACACTGATTCACCCACTGCACGCCAGTCACCACTTCCTTGAAGCGCTCTCAAGAGGTCTGGTGAGGGTGCCCAGGCAGCCCCACACCTTCCGCACCAGTAGCTGTTGGCCCACCAGGCTGTTATTAACCAATGGGCTCCCCGGAATCCCCGGCAAGCACCTACAGAAACCGGACACCCAATCTGTAGCTGCCCCCACCCCAGCCTCCTTAACACTGCCCCAGAGTGCCCAGTTCAGCCTCCATCTCAGACTGGCACAGGGGCCCACCGTCTCAGACAGCTGAGGCTCAAAGAGGCGAGTGGTGGCACTCAGACCTCGGGGGACTTCTGCTGGAGGAGGCACGAGGGAGTCTCTGACCCTGTCCACTCCCTTGCTCCTCAGGCCCACAGCTGACCTGGAGGCAGAGGAAACATGTGGGGCAGGGCAGGCCTGGTGCTTAGGGTGCCCTGCACAGGCTCCTACCCTTACAACGGATGGCAGGTAAGAGGGTGTGTAGAGATGGCCCAGGGTCAGTGAGAGAGGAACACCTGGAACTCTGGTGTCCTTCCCAGAGAGTGAGGAAGATGTAGCAGTCACGGACAGGAGAGGAGGTGGGGGGGTGGGCAGTAAGGAGAAGAGGACCCTGGGGAGGGCATGAAAGGATATGAAAAGATCAGGCTGGGAAGTGCTGGTAACCTCTGCAATGGCAGGCCCACTGTCCCAGGCCGCATGCTGGATACCAGGAGTGAAGAAGGAGTAGCTGTAGGAGTAGCCTCGAGGGAGACTGTCCTGGAAGAGCCAGAAGCTTGCAAGAGACAGAAGCTCGCAAGGGCTAGAAGCCCAGCGATAGCCTGCTCGCTCTTCTCAGCAGCCGGCAGACAGCGACCAAGGAGTTTCACTTCTGCCCCACGTGGGGCCCAGGTGGCCAGCAGCGACCCAGGCTGAGCACCCACACCAGGGGCCTTGCCTGAGGCCTGGGACAGGTGGGGAGGGGGCTTCCCACTTACTTGGCTCCTCTGAAGAAGCAGTTTCTTTTCAGAAAGGTCAGCATTCTTTGCAGCTACCTATAGCAGGGGCTCTGGAGGCCCACAGGGCGCACAGGGGTGGGCAGCCAGCAGCTTCCCCATCCTGCTCCAGACAACTGGGATTGGAGGCCTCAGAGGGTGGGGCTGGCGTGGTCTTATGCCTGGGAGGAGGATGCAGCCCCGTGCTTCAAGAGGACGTGGTCTGAGCCCGCAACAGGAAGCTGCTGAAAGTCCTGCCTGGGCTCAGTGCAGGTGGGGAGGCTGTGGCCTGCCTTCAGTCCTGCGCACCCCAAGAGAGGCGTCTCATGCTCCTCGGTCTCTGCTCTGGGCACTGGGACTCACAGCTCTCCAGGGGTAGGGACAAGCTCAAAAGCAGCTGCCTCTTCCGGTGCTGCCCCCTAGGGAACAGCCCTGTCCTCCTTGCCTGAAAGTCCCCAGAGGAGGGACTGCACTCCAGCCCTCCCACCTAGCCCAGGGCCAGCCCATCCAGGACCCATTAGATATTTCCTGCTCTTCCAGCTCTAGGGCTTCTGTGCTTCAGACTTCTGGGGAGGGACCTCCCACTGGGGCGGAAGGGAAACCTGGCTCACTCTGGGCCTCAACAGACCTACCACGAGGTGGGGCCCAAGGGGGTTGCATGCCTGGAACAAAGAAAGGGGCAGGCCTGGGACGCCAAAGACCCTAGTGCTCACTGAAAAAGCACCGCACTGCCCAGCCACAAAGCTCAGGGCTGCAGGCAGCTCCACCACGGTGGCGTCGAGATGCTGCGGCGAGCAATGTCACTGCGTCGGCCGCCTGTCAGACACGTGCCCAGGCCAGCAGCACCCTCCTCTGTGAGCTGCTCCCCTCACTGTCAAGGGAGTAGGGATACCTTAGCCTCACTGAGATGCAGGGCCTGGGAAAGCCCACTCCACTGGCCAGGAGCACTCGTGTAAGTCCCACTGTAAAGACTGTGGCTTATGGCCCGTGGGCACCCTCTCTGTGCCCCTGGCCTGCCACGGGAAGGGCAGACAGGGCATGCTTCTCCCTTTGCCCCCAGGTGGGGCCTCACCCCTCTGCTGATGCCAAAGCTGATGGGTGCTGTGGCTTCGGTGGCTGTACTCCCGGCCTCCCCTCATGTCTCCCAAGACTCCCTACCTGCCCCAATCACAGGGGCCCCCAAGTTCTCTTGTTCCTATTTCAAATCCCATCCACCACCTCAGCGCCAGGCCTATACTACACCTCATCTCCGGCCTTCCCCCTCAACCGACGCCAGAGTACTCTGGCCAGCTGTGGGCAAGGCACTGCCACCCAGATAATCTGCTGCACCTCCAGCTCGACACAGTTGGACACAGCTCATCATCACTCTGGCCCGACTCCCTCAGAGACACTGGAACACAGCCTCCTCAGCACCAGGGTAAAAACCACACCCTCAGGCTCTGCCCCCTCTTTCCTCCTGCCAGGATTTGGACTAAGACGCAGGCTCAAGAGCCTGTCCCTGGCTACTGCCACTGTCTGCCAGTTAACTGATAGTCCTGAGCCTCCCTTTCGCTCATGCAGACCGGCAAATAGATGCACCTCAGAGTGATGATGAAGGTTTACTAAAGTAACATAAAAAGTAATCAATAAATGGTGGCTAATGTGACTAACATTTGGCAAACAGTGACCCTTCTGTTATATGAAATTCTCTCCACTCTTATTCACTGTCCCAAGTCAGGCCTTATGAGCACAGATCCCTGAACATCGTGACAGTCCCTCTCCTGCCAAGTTAACACCACCAACCCATGGAGACTGCACTTTGAAAAACATTTCCGCCCGTACCCCTCCCTGCTTTCTGAAAACTACTTGCTCCCACGGCTTCAGGAGGCCCTGACCTTGGCATTCAGGAGCCCTCGCCCTCACAAATCAGTCCCCTCCGTGCAGCCCTTGCTCTGTTCCAGCCAAATAAGCTATTTCTGTTCTCTCAACTGTCCACACGGTTCCACCTCCCTGACTCAGTGCATGTGGTTTTCACTATCAAAAGTCCCTGTCCCCCATCCTGAAGGCCGGAGCACCTGACTGGGAGTCTCCAGTGCACTGCCTCCCTCTTCTGACATTACCAGCCAGTGAGGGCCCCATGTGTTCATTTCTCTCACTGGCTGTGTTACTTCAGCCAGAGAATTAACCTCTCTGTGCCCCAATTAATGGCGCCCACACAACAGAGTAGTCCCCTTACCCAGCCTCACTTTCCTGGGTTTCAGCTACTGATGAAACTGTGGTGCAAAAAACCAAGAAGATTACAGTCGATTGCTTTGCTTTATTTTTAGTTATCAGTGTTACTCTCTTAAAGAGACTAATTTATAAATTAGACTTTACCACGGTATGCATATTAGGAAAAGCCAGTGTGTAGGGTTCAATCCTATCCATGATTTCAGGATGCACTGGGGGTCCAAGAACACATTCCCTGCAGATAAGGGGGGATGACAATATCTAGCTATAAAAAGTCCTGAATACGTGCCTGGTACCCACTAAATCTTAAAAAACATTAGGTGATATTCTTAAAAAAGAAAAAAAAAAACCAACAAAACCTCACTAGAGGTGCTTCCACTGCTGAACATGAACTCCTTCAGCTGGTGGGCGACGCTCTGGCCCTGACAGGCTTCCGGCACCTCCTTCCGCATGAACCTGCTGTTCACTAACTGGGTCAGGTGCTGTCACACCGTTCCATTCTTGGCACCTGCCAGGCCCTCTGCCTGGAAGTGCTTCCTACCACACCTCTCCATCCAGAAACCTCACGTCCTGTGCAACTGCCACTCTGCCCTCTGGCCACCTCTAATGTTGCACCTGTTTCTGCCTTTTGGTATAGCCCTGCTAGGTCACCTTTGGGTTCTCATGTTCTTGGTCCTGGTCCTAACCCACACTTGGGAGCTGCTGTCTGGGGGTAAGGGGCTGGTCTAACGGGCCAGTGAAGCTTCACAAGCCCTGCTTCCCCACAGGTGGGAGTTTGTCTTCCTCCCTCTCTGGGAACAGGAGCACTCACAAGTCAAGAGTGCACTGCTCTCCACCTCCTCCACACCCCTCCCTCAGGTGCTAACATGCTTTGGTAACATCGGGGGAGATACAGGCTTTCCCCCCAACTTTCCTGAAGAATCCAGAGTGATGAAACAGAAAGGCCTAGTCCAAATACCTTATTTGTACAGGTGGGGAGCAGAGGCAAGGACTCCCTGGAAGTCACAACCAGAGACAACACCAGGAGGAACAGCCAAATCTCCCGGATTGCTTGCCCAGCCTCTCACTCTGGCAGCCCTTGCTGAGCGCGCTCCAACCCTAACCAGCACACCCTACCTGAAGCAGTCTGCATGCCAGTCAGCATTCAGGGCCTGGAGGTACTGGCCATCATAGATCCTCTGGCCGCAGCTTGCACACACCGGCAACTCGCTTCCTGCAGGAGTGGAAAGAGAGTAGAGAACAACTCCCAAGAGCATGGTCTGGTGCAGGCACAGCTACCACCCAGACCTATGTGCCCCTGCACCACTCGCAGTGCTGGAGTCACTGTGCCCAGAGGCAGGAGAAAGAACTTAGGTCTGAGAGGCCTTGGCTAAGTTACCAAACCTCTCTGGGCCTCAGTTTCCCTACCTGTAAACTGAGGGGGAGAGTCAGATGTTCACCCTGCAATAGCAACATTCAGCTCAGGGTCTGGACAAGGTAAAAGGGGAGAGACACCAGGTGACACCTCTACAGCCCCCTTCCCCTTCTGCCTGTGTAGGAAGAGGGTCCTGCAGAGGGACTGAACAGGGCCGGGTTGGTGTGTTCTGGGCGGAAGCCCCTGGGAGGGGATGGGCAGGGGCCCAGAGGTGCTGGCCCCCCCCTGAGCTTTGGCTATGCCCTGACCCATCAGGGACCAGGGCCTGAGGGGACCAGGGCCAAAGAGCAGGGCACTCCCAGGCACCTGGGAGGCCTGGCACCTCCTCAAGCTGGCCACTAGGATGCTTAGTCATCCTTGGGGCCTGGCATCTTGGAGCTGGGTGGGCCTTGAAGTTCCCCTTTGCCTGTTTCCCCCATTGTAGAGATGGGGAGACTGAGCCCTGGACTGAAGGCATGGCTTGCCTGTCCCCCCATGAGAATCCAGGGGCCCATGGCACAGGAAAAGGGAAGGTCAGCTCTAGACCCAACTAGCCCTTCAATGGCCTGGGGATGGTCAGGCACAGCGGAACCTGCCTTGGACCCAGAGGGCCTATGTGATGATTCAGCTGAGGCAATCCTGGACCCCAGTCCTGGGGTGGGAGAGTTTCTGCAGGTCTTTACACTCTGACCATGGTGCAACACCTAGCTTTGGGCCCCAGTAGGGGTGATGGGGCTGGAGATGCTAGCTTCATCCTCCCAGTCAAGACTGAGGGAAGGCACCCGGTTTGGTGCAGGGAGGAGGGGTGGGGGGCCCCAGGAAAATGCCTCCATTCGTTGGTTCTTTCCATTCGGTCCTTGGAAGCTTATCTCGCTTATCTCTCCTCTGCCCATCTGCACGCCAATCACCAGTACGGAGGGTCAAGTACGTGGCCCCCAACTATACACACAGGGAAACTGAGGCCTGGCGAGCAGTATCAGGCTCAAGGTCACGGGCCCATGCAGGCAACTAGTACCTAGAGCTGCCGCTCTCCCAGCGTCTCTTTCTTGCCAGGCTGGGTCAGAGACTGGACAAGGGATGGCCTCGGGGAGAGCCCCGGGTGGACAGAACATGAGGAAGGAGGCCTGAGGGGACAGTGCCGGGGACTCCTCCGGACAGGCCGCTCGCTGGTGGGGGAAAGCGGGGTAAAGGGGAGCAGGGGCCCTCCGCCCGCGGCAGGGCAGCCCACCTAGGTCCGGGGAGGGCGAAACCGGGTGGGAGCGTGTCAGGGAGGGGCCTGCGGCTTCGGAAGGACTAACTCACCCGGGGGGGGGCAGGGGCGCGGCC